TGTACAAAATATGTAAGACACAAGTCTCACCATTCTCGCTTCTAAGGAAGATTCTGGCTGTACTTCATAAAACACAGACTTTTTTTTTTCTCAATCTTTTGACAGTCCAGGGGATATTTAGTACTTTTCTCCAACACCATAATTCAACGGCATCACTTATTCCATCTTCCTTATTCATTGTCCAGTTTTCACATGCATATGAGGTGACTGAAAATACATGGCTTATGCACCCATGTTGTCTTCAGCGATCGTGTTGGGGAGGTAAGTATCAAAGAGTGTCAGGTTATTAGAACAAAGTAAAGTGTTCTTGTGTTTAGGGAGGCCTTGCATAGAGGCCCCAAAATATGACTGCTATCTTAATACTTAACATATAAATATATGCACATTGGCCTAGCTCCCTTTCATTATAAATTAATGTATTTACATATATACATGCCTATAGCTTTACCTCTGTAAATAGCTTTTGCCTCCTACTTCTTTCCTCTATTTCCGTTCACCTTGCTCATGTCCCACTATCATGCTCACCCTCCATTCAGCTCTCAGTAAATGGGTGCATAAGCAAAAGTGGTGAAGAAAGTGGATGGTGCCTGGTTATCAAAAGATATAGCATCTGGGGTCTTAAAGGCTTGAAGTTAAACAAGTGGCCATCTAGCTGAGAAGCAACAAAGCACACATGGAAGAAGCACACCAGCCTGTGCGAACACGAGGTGCTGAAGGGATCGGGTATCAGGTATCCGGAGACCCAAAACAAACAATCATATCGATGTGAACAAGGGGGGTCAGAGTGGAGACCCAAAGCCCATCGGCAGACAATTGGACACCCCCCACAGAAGGGTTATAAGGAAGAGACAATCCAACCAGGGTGCAGTATAGCACTGATGAAGCACACATCACTCCTCTAGTTCCTGAATGCTTCCTCCCTCCCCCACCTCCCCACTACCATGACCCAGTTCTACCTTACAAATCCGGCGAGACCTGAATACTGTACACACATTGGTACAGATAAGAGCTTTCGGCACATGGGATTCAGGACGGATAGAACCCTTGGGAACAGCAGTGGGAGTTGTGCTATCATGGGGGGGGGG